AGAATAGAATAGAATAGAATAGAATAGAATAGAATAGAATAGAATAGCTTTATTGGCCAAGTGTGATTGGACACACAAGGAATTTGTCTTGGTGCAAACTCTCTCAGGGTACATTAAAGAAAAGGTACATTCGTCAAGAGTCAAGAATCATCAGATACAACACTTAATAATAGTCATAGGGTACAATAATTTCAGTTATTTCAACTGAAGTTGTAACCAACAGAGAGCCTCAGCACTAGGAGCAAATCCATACTTGTCAATGGTATAAAGTTCAAGTTATGCCTTTCTTGCATTTTGTTATCAATGAAAAAAAGGAACTGATCCACTTCATGAAAGTGAGTTCTAAATTCTGGCCAAGAATAGCCATTGGCCTCCAATATTCTTTGTGACAGTGGAAGACCCTCACCATTGCAACTTTTTCCAAATGCCAAGTTGGGTTTCAAAGTTGGCAGAAAAAGTTGCTTCACAGTGGATCTTTGCATGTTGAAAATCCCAGGTTTAATTCATAGACTCTCCAGATAAAACTGGAAAAGGCTCTTGTTTGAATCCTGTAATTAACCTAATCAGAGAGCAGTGAGCTAGATCAGGAGTTCCCAACCTGGGGTGCTCGCACCCCCTGGGGGTGTGAGACGATATTCCAGGGGGTGTGAGAAAAGTCCAGGTAAATAATAGGATATTGGCTATATGTTGGCATTTTTATTTTCAGGAGGTGCAAGGTTCGAGTGAAATTTCTTTAGGGGCGCGGGGCAAAAAAAAGGTTGGGAACCACTGAGCTAGATGGACACAAGCCTGGTTGGGCCTGGTTCCTATTTTAAATCTTTTTTTGGGGGGGAGGGGGTAACAATTGTGGAATTTGTAAACTTGTGGAAATTGTAAATGTTATGAAAACGCTGGCATTATCTCCAAATATCAGATAAGAAGCATCTAAGACAAATTGCTTTTCCTGTGGGATGCTGTGTACTTGCATTTCATTACAATCGCTCCAGAAATTCCTGCAGATGACTCCTTTCCTTTCCCATTTTTCCCAGCCTTGTTCTACTTCCCCCATGGTTCCCATCTGGATCCATAAAGACAAATAATGCGGCATTTTAGAAACAGTAGGTTGTTTTCATTTCTTAGGCTTGCAAGTCAGACAGTCAACTGAGGTAAAAGACAGTCGGTGGAGGGAAGGCAATCTCATGTGGGATTTTTAAACAGGTTACATGTGCTTTTCTTGCCTGGGTTGGGATGAGCAGAAGAGAAAGTCTTCTTGCACCCCATTTAATTCTTAATGAACTAAGGATTTGTAAACCTGAATATAGTCCGATACTCTTACTTGCTGCAATCACATCCTCTGGTGGGGGACCACTCACAGATCTAAGCTCAAATCTATCTTTTCCATCACCTACATCCATGCTTGCTACAAGATTTCAATGTATGGTTATTTGCTTCAGGGATGAAATAGCCATCCAATGTGCCACACATAATCTTTCAATGCAATCTCAAACCACTATGGATTTGTCCTAGGTTTACATTGCATTTCTAGCGTTATGCCTCTTTGCCTTCTATAACATGCTGAATCATAAAAGTCTGACAATCATCTGCTTTCCTGTCTCCTATTATTATTAGTGGCTCTAACAAGTGATTCTCAAATGGTCTACAGCAAGGTCTGAGGAAGAAACTAAGGAAACTGCATATTATATTGCTGTCTCTCTCCTTGGTGTGTGTGTGTGTGTGTGTGTGTGTGTGTGTGTGTGTGTGTGCTTTTTAGTCATTCTTGATCCTGCAATCCCATGGACAAGTCCATGCCTTTTTCTTGGCAACATTTTTTGAAAATGTTTTGCTATTGTCTTCTTCCTAGAGAGAGAGACTAACTGGCAAAAGTCACCAAGCTGACTTTTGTAGTTAAAAAGGACCAGAACTCATAGTCTCCTGATTTCTAGCATGGCTCCTTTAACTACCCTTCATGTAGAAGAGAGAGAGAGAGAGAGAGAGAGAGAGAGAGAGAGAGAGAGAGAG